TGTGTGTGTGTGTGTGTGTGTGTGTGTGTGTGTGTGTGACATTTTGGTGCGAAAAACATTTTAGAAAGGGATTAAAGAGTTTTGAATGCAGTGTTTGCTTTTGTTAGAAATTTGCAGAGCTTTGCATTTTGTGTTTGTGTTAGTGTTTTGAGGCAATGGGCCAAAGATTCAGCAAACACGTGTAAAAACTGTAATTAGATTTAACTATTTTATGGATATTTTTGAGTACTGAATTGATTTTATTTATAACAAACATCTCCTGGTTCATACTGCATCTTGATTTTTTTTCTTTCACTTTTTCCATGAAGAATACATGCAGGTATCGGATAGCACAGCATAATTGTGCTGCATTTATTCTGTCTAGATCAGCCTTTATGTCAGAAGTGCATGATGCTTTCAAATGCTACCTACTCAGGCAGCTCTTTAGGAACAGAGCCAACAATGGTCTTCCCCAATTCTTTTACAAAATCATTACTCCATATCTACTGAATGGTGTAATGTAGCAAAAAATGAGGTTTCTTTTCAATGCAAAATAAATATGAAGCTCAAATTCATTTACATCAATATCAACTGCTTACCAGTGTTTTTTCCGTAGTTACAGAGGGTTGAAAAGGAGAGCTTGCCTAGGGGGAAAAATTTAATAAAATTGTGAATATTAAACATTATTTTACATTTGACATGCTATTGATATGCTATCTGGACATAGTTTTGAAACAAGTGCTTCCACAATATCCTCTTAATTGTAATGTTATTTGAAGTGATTAATATTATTGATTTTATATCATATTATTCAGCTATGGACCCCTCTATGTCTGTAATCTTTTCAGAGTTTGTAATATTCCCTTAAAATCATCATGTTGCCAAAACCTATGGAACAACAGGAACAAACTAACTCTTCAAATCCTGTCATTTGTGTATGACAAGAAAATTTGCTACAATTGTCCAGGCGAATTGTCCAAATGAAATTCTGCTCTCAGAATGTAAACATGGGTCTAAAATGCCATTATTATAAAGTGAATACCTCAGGAAAGGTTATGAAACCTACAACCTCACACAAGCCACCTTATCGCTAGCTTTACTGTAAAAACAAAGGAAGAATTAAACGTGGCTGGAAGTTCCTAGCAATAGTAAAAGCACCCAATTTATAGCCGAATTGTAATTGTACACTTCTGTAATTCTAGTGCGGTGGCATATGCTGTAGGCTGGATAATGGAATTGAATCTGAATACTCTGAAATTTTTGAGTGTTATAGTGAAATTTCTAGACTGGTGGGTTGAAACCCCAAAATGCGTTGCGGGTCTGTTCTGACAGTGTTGTGAACAGCAGGGAAAAAATGTGGCTAATAAAATGTAACCATATAATTGTGCATAGTACCTACTGCAAAATAAAAAGGTGTGACATCTTGTTGACATCAAAGACTGTGCATCCAATCAGTTTTCTATACTTTTGTCTAAAATCTACGAGTAAAAAATATCAAATCTGGGCTCTAGATTGGCTTGCATGTTCAGATTCACTTGCATATAAAAATAGTTTGACTACTAGAACTGGCTCTGAAAATGGGCTAAAGCAAATGTTAGCTACATTTCTAGAGCCCTGAGCTGGCATTTCAGCATTAAATACTGCAAAATAAGAATATTTCCAGAACTAATACTCAAGAGAGTTTTTATAATGAATGATTTCTCAGATTTGCCGCCTTCGTATGAAGTCTGAGCGTAAAATATGTGCAGAGATCAAAAATGAATGGAAAAACGTACATATCTTGTTTCCCGTCCCAATAGTTTTGGAGATGGTGATGACGTCTGTGACTTCAGTAGTTCAGAATAAAAGAAAATGAATGAGTTAAGAAAGCTCTCAGCAGCTGAAAAGTGGCACACGTTTCAAAGCAAGCACAGTGCACATAATCAAAATGGCAAGCTGGGTTTGAACAGCAGGGGCTAAAAGGTACCTGGCTAAAGACTGATCGGAGTGGAGGACTGAATTCTTCATTTTGCTAACATTGGTCTTCATTGAAAATAATCAGCAAATTGTAGCACAAAAAAAATCTGTATGATATTCTATTACATTGATTTATTTATTTCTCTTTTATGTCTTCTGGGTGAGAAAATATATTGTATAGTTCAGTCATTGCAATGCTTTAGTCTGGGTGAAAGGCAGTTACACTGTTATACAAACAAACAAGAAATATTTTATTCCTAGAAAGCTCTATAATTTATGCTCTGCCTGAATGTGACGCCATTGTGACTAATCAAAATGAAGATGAGGTAATTAATCTTTCATTTCATACCCTTGATGCCTCCGCTGCCAAAGACTTCACATTGGCTTTGTTCACATGGTCTGATTGATGCTGGGAAAAATGGATTAAAACATGAAGATGCAGGTGAAGGTGTATAAATGGATTATTGTTTAGATGCAGAGTGTGTTTTGGTGACAGCTCACTCTTTGGATCGAGTCCTCGAGGACTTCATCAATGGTTGCGTACAGTTCTGCGGTCTGCTGACGCAGCTGCGCAGGAGAGCACATCTACACAAAGAGAAGAACACTTCACAGTAATGCCTAGTTTGGGATAATCCAGAACATTAAATACTTCACAACTTAATGGTACTTCATCTCATTTCATTACTAAATCTGTTTAATTGGACAGCGATGGGCGAAAATTTAACATTTACATGGTATTTACATGGCCCTACATGGTAGAGCAGGGGTAGCATAGCTACTTCATTTTATATAACATTCGAGTTAAAACCAAAATATACCATAATATAGCAAATTCTCTAGAGGTTCTAGCAGTCACTGCACTGTATTCTGTCATATCACCCAGGCATTTTGGGTGTTCGGGTCTCGTTCTACCTCTGCATGTGGGTCCTCCCAAGAATAGTTGTCTGCGGGGTTAAATGAAGCCTCTTTCTTGTTGACCTCTTCATCTAAAGCCTTCAGAAAGGGGAAATTTAAGAGTTGTAGATGACACATTAATCTTCTAATGATAGTTCGTCGGTCACTCTCGACGTCACGTCGGATGACCGACAAAATTGGGATCTGGCTTAGAGAGACCAATCTACTTCGAGTGTAAACTAAACGAGCCAATGCACATTGGCATGCGATTATTGCATCCAGC